CCCCAAAACCCCAAAACCCCAAAACCCCAAAACCCCAAGGAAAATTTCATGAGTTGAATGAAGTTTTGAGCAGGTTTCGGTACCTAAATTTTAGATTTTTTGGGGCAATGGCTTTGACAGTTGCTTAGAACAACTGACTAAATTTTAGGTAATGTTGGTTTGGGTTTTAAGACAAGATATTTTATGTTTTATAGTTTTATGTATTTAAGTTGAAGGTGATGCAATGATGGAGAGAGAAGATATAGCTATGCAATATTAAGAGAGAAAGATTTTAATTTTCTAATTAATTCAGTATGTATTTCTGATTTAATGAAACATAGCTCCGGTATCACTTATAAAGAATTACTTTAAAGTTTACCCTGCTCTTTCGTATGCTTTAATGTTGTTGAAGGATCTATCTATCTCATAAAATCCAGGCCCTGGATTTTCAGCAGCTTTCTTCTTCTCTCTTTGCTCGCTTCCAAAGCCAAATTTAGGTCCTCCTAGTTGCCCTTTAGCTCCATATAAACCTGGACCTGGCAAATCACTTTTCTTTACTTTTCTATCAAATCTAGTTTGCTTTCCTAAGGAATATGATTTATGTTTCCTTTTCAGATCAACAACTTCAGATTTGTAAGCCCCTGGACCTGGGCTGGCTTCTTTTCTTCCTTTAGAACTATTGAGTCTGATTCCCATTCCATATTTCTTTCCTTCAACTATATGAGTTTGGTATTCATAAGCTCCTGGTCCAGGAGTCCCTTGACTATTTTTGACGAAATCAATTTTGCCCCCAAAGCCCATCCCGCTTGATTGAGCTGTCTTCCTCATGATGTCATCTTTAACTTGGTATGAGTTGGGGCTCGGCACTGAGTTTTTGCCAGCTTCTTGTAACCTTGAAGAAGTGCCAAATCCAAATTTAGGTTCGGCCTTCTCTGACACTTTTCTAGAAGGAGAATAAGCTCCAGGTCCAGGAGAGTTATTTTTGCCGTTCTTGTTGTTGGAAAGCTTTGCACCCATTCCTATCTTCTTTCCGTCAGTAACGGTTGATCTCATATTGTAAGTGCCTGGGCCAGGAGTATCTGCAAGAGTTTTTGACAGATTAATTTTACCCCCGTATCCCATTCCAGAAGCTTGAGCTGTTTTTCTCAAGATTTTGTCGTTGACATTGTAGGATGCTGGGTCAGGAGAGTGATTCTTTCCTTTTTGAACTAATTTCTTCTCAGTTCCAAACCCAAACTGAGGGGCTTTATCTCTAACTTTGTTTACATCCGGGTTATACACGTTAGGCCCAGGGGACTCAGAAGATCTATCTTTTCTCTTGTCTAGATCTTTTGCTCCCATACTAAACTTCTTCCCTTCTTGGATGTAGCTTGGCTCTTTCTATGAGAGTTAGGGATGAATATTTACATAAGATCCTGGTCCTGGAGTGTCCACAAGGACTTGGGCTGGGTCTACCTTTTTGCCATACCCCATTCCTGTCTTTTGGAATGATCTCCGAGTAATGGTATCTTTGACCTCATATAAATTTGGAGAGGGTCCATTGAATTTTGAAGGCTGTCTCATCTTTTTCTCCGAGCCAAACCCATATTTCGGAGCGCTAAGCTTAGATGCTTTGTTCGAAGGACTGTAATTTCCTGGCCCAGGATTATTACTTTTTGTGTTAGTCAATACAGTTCTTTGGCTTGTTTGTTTGAATTCTCTTTTCTCCAATGCTTTATCGAATGAAGACTTCATTTGGTATGATCCAGGCCCGATGTTTTGATCTTTTAAATTCTGCCCCCTCTGTTGTGAACCAAATCCGAAGGATGGAGCATTAGTAACTGTGAAAAATGTTAGCAGTTAAATAAAGTAACTTACAGTTTTTATTTATCCCCAGTATATTCTGCAGGACCTGGTGAGTGTTGAGTTTTGCCTAATCTAGATTGCCTGGGTTTTCCTCCTCCAAAGCTAAACCCTGTAGTCGCTAAATTGGAAATTAAGATTGTTTTATATGAGAACTTACTTTTTGAGAATTGGGAAGCTGCATTATAATTTCCTATAATAATTTATTTCATATCAAAAAGGCAATCTACCTGGACCAGGAACATTGGTGACTGGTATCATTTCTTTGCTCTTTCCAGAGAACGAGTAAACTGGTTGAGATTTGTAATTGATCATCCCTAAAGTATTTAGTAAGCTTAAAGTCATCATAAAACATTCAAACTGTGAAGTTAAACCATACTTGTCTTATTAAATTTTATTTTATAAATCAATTGTCATGTGATAAATAGGGGTTTTGGGGTTTTGGGGTTTTGGGGTTTTGGG